CAGCTACTTGAAAGGCTGAGGCAGGAGGATGGCTTGCACCCAGGAGTTTGAGGCCGCAGTGGGCTATGATTAGGCCACTGCACTCCAGCCTGGGTGACAGAATGAGACCCTGTCTCAAAAAAAAAAAAAAAAAAAGTATTACTACTAAGAGCCATTGCCATCTCCATTCACTTGAAGACTTTCTGGTTCCCTTCAGTATATATTTAGGGTTCTGAAGAGTCAGCAAAAGGTAAAACAAAGTGTGATTCTAAGTGGAAGTTAATCAGGAGGATTTCATTTGGAAGGATCACATGAAGTCAGAAATAAAAAGATACGTAGATATAGATAAAATGTTTTATGGAAGACTTCAAACACCCACAAAAATGAGAGAACACTATGAAGAACCCCTCATATACCCATCATCCAGTTCATTATTAGGTCATTAAATATGAAATGTCCAATTTCAAATCAAAGGTTTATACAAGAAGCAGTACAATTAATCAAATTACGTGACGAAACTATCAACACAGTTTTGTCATCTTAACAGTAGCTTGTTTATGCCAGCAGCAAAGAAGCCTGGAGAGTGAGTGGCGATGAAATCGCAAAAGGCATTTTTCACAGCTTGTTGAGAATTGAATATTTTTTCTTGTAAGAAGTGATCCAAAGTCTGGAAGAAGTGGTAGTCAGTTGGTGTAAGGTCTGGTGAATATGATGGATGACAGAGTTTCTAAGTCCAGTCTCTATAGTTTGAGCAGCATTGTTTATGCAACATGTGGTTGAGCGTTTCTTGTAGAGGGATTGGCCTGTCTCTATTGACCAATCTCGGCTGTTTAATCACAAGCATCCTCATCATTTCATCCAGTTGGTTGCAGTAGACATCCGCTGTAATTGATTGACTAGGTTTTATGAAGCTGTAGTGGATAATACTAGTGCTGGATCATCAAACAGACACCATTAGCTTTTTTTGATGGATATTTGGTTTTGGACTGTTTCAGCATTTCATCTTTATCCAATATTGTGCTGAACACTTGTGATGGTCAAAAAGAATCTATTTTTTTTTATCACATGTAACAATACAGTGTAAAAATGGTTCACCTTTATGTCGTGACAGCAAAGAAAGGCAAGCTTTGAGACAATTTTTCTTTAGACATTTGTTTATGTAGTAGCCATCTGTCCAGCTTCTTTACCTTGTCAATTTGTTTTAAATGGTCTAATATTGTTGGAATAGTAACAACAAACCTTTTTGTGAATTTAGGCATAGATTGAGATGAATTCACTTCCAGTACAGTTTTTAGTTTATCATTATCCACCTTGGTCTTAGGTTGTCCATGTGGCTCATTTTTTTTTTTTTTTTTT